CCAGTTTAGTAGCATCAGCAAACTTGCTGAGGGTGCACTCTGTGCCTTCCTCCAGGTCATCGATGACTACATTGAACAAGACTGGACCCAGGACTGACCCCTGGGGGACACTGCTAGCTACAGGCCTCCAACTTGACTCTGTGCCACTGACCACAACCCTCTGAGCTCGGCCATCCAGCCAGTTCTCCATCCCCCTCACTGTCCACTCATCTAGCCCACACTTCCTGAGCTTACCTACGAGGAGGTGATGGGAGACACTGTCCAAAGCCTTGCTGAAGTCCAGGCAGACAACATCCACTGCTCTCCCCTCATCTACCCAGCCAGTCATTCCATCAGAGAAGGCTATCAGATCGGTCAAGCATGATTTCCCCTTGGTGAATCCATGCTGACTACTCCTGATCACCTTCTTGTCCTCCAGATGCTTAGTGAAGACCTCCAGGAGGAGCTGTTCCATCACCTTTCCCGGGATGGAGGCCTGGAGTTCCCTGGGCCCTCCTTCTTGCCCTTTTGGAAGACTGGGGTGACGCTGGCTTTCTTCCAGTCCTCAGTCACCTCTCCTGATCTCCAGGACCTTTCCAAGATGTTGGAGAGTGGCCTAGCAATGACATTCGCCAGCTCCCTCAGCACTCATGGGTGCATCCCATCAGGACCCATGGAGTTGTGGATGTTAAGTTTGCCCAAATGATCTCTAACCTGATCCTCCTCCACCAAGGGAGAGTCTTCCTTTCTCCAGCCTTCCTCTCTTGTCCCCAGGGTCTGGAATTCCTTAGCAGTGAAGACTGAAGCAAAGGCAGCATTCAGCAACTCTGCCTTCTCTGTATCCTTCGTTACCAGGGCACCCGCCCCATTCAGCAGCAGGCCCACATTTTCCCTAGTCTTCCTTTTGCTATTGATGTATTTGAAGAACCCCTTCTTGTTGTCCTTGACATCTCTTGCCAGATTGAATTCCAACTGGGCCTTAGCCTTCCTTGTCGCATCCCTGCATACTCTGACAAAGTCCCTGTATTCCTCCCAAGTGGCCTGTCCCCTTTTCCACATTCTGTAGACTTCCTTCTTCTGTTGGAGTTTTGCCAGGAGTTCCTTGCTCATCCATGCAGGTCTCCTGCCCGCTTTGCTGGATTTCTTACTCAGAGGGATGCACCGATCTTGAGCCTGGAGGAAGCGATGCTTGAATATTAACCAGCTCTCCTGGACCGCCCCCTCCTTCCTTCTAGGGCCCTACCCCAGGAGATTCCTCCAAGTAGGTCCATGAAGAGGCCAAAGTTAGCTCTCCTAAGTCCAGGGTTGCGATCTTACTTATCGTCCTTCTTCCTCTTCGTAGGATCCTGAACTCTACCATCTCATAGTCACTGCAGCCAAGGCTGCCCCCACTCCATCTCCACATCTCCAACTAGACCTTCTTTTTTGTTAATACAAGGTCTAGCCGCACACCTCTCCTTGTTGGCGTCTGCACCACCTGGGTCAGGATATTATCATCAATCTTCTGCAGGAACCTCTTTGACTGTTTGTGCCTAGCTGTGCTGTCTTCCCAACAGATGTCAGGGTGGTTGAAGTCCCCCATGGGACTTCACGGCCTGTGATCGTGAGGCTACTTCCAGCTGCCTGCAGAAGGCCTCATCGACTTCCTCTTCCTGATCAGGTGGCCTGTAGTAAACCCCCACCACCGTGTCACCCATGCTAGCCTGCCCCTTAATCCTTACCCATAGGCTCTTCATCTTGCTCTTCATCCACCCCGAGGCAGAGCTCCATCCATTCTAGCTGCTCCCTCACATAAAGAGCAACTCCACCAGCTCGCCTTCCTGGCCTATCTTTCCTAAAAAGCACATAGCCGTCCAGGACAGCATTCCAGTCATGTGAGCTATCCCACCATGTCTCTGTAACTGCAATGAGATCATGGCCCTGCAACCGCACACAGATCTCTAATTCCTCCTGCTTATTCCCCATACTGCGCACATTGGTGTACAGGCATTTCAGAGAGCTAATCGAGCATGCAGGCTTCTCAGGAGAGGAATCCTTCTATGGAGGATCCTCCGGAGAGGTGCAAGAGGATCCTCCATAGCCATGTTCCATGCTGTCTCCCCTGGCTGCATGCACCCGCTGGAGGCATCCTGACTTGAGTGGTGTTTTACTGACTCCCCTGCCACTATACCACTCCCCTTCCCCCATCTTGCCTAGTTTAAAGCCCTCCTCACCAGGCCGGCCAGCCTGTTGGCAAAGACACGCGTGCCCCGCTTCGTGAGGTGGATCCCATCTCTCCCCATCAGCTGTTGATCTTCAAACAGGGTTCCATGGTCATAGAAACCAAAGCCCTGCTGTCAACACCAGCGGTGCAGCCAGTTGTTAACTTGGAAAACTCGTCTACTCCTCCTCCCATCCTTCCCCCTCACAGGCAGGATTGAGGAGAAAACGACCTGGGCTCCCAGACCCTTGTCCACCATTCCCAGAGCTCTGAAGTCCTGTTTGATGGTATCCAATTTGCCTTTTGCGTCATTAGTGCCCACATGGAAGAGCAGCAGAGGGTAGTAGTAGTCTGATGCATGGACAAGCCTTGGCAGTCTTTCCATGACATCTCTTATTCGAGCCCCTGGCAGGCAGCAAACCTCCCTAGACAGGAGGTCAGGTCGGCAGATAGGTGCCTCTGTATCTAGTGGCAAGGAGGGATTAAAATAATAAGGAAAGCCAAATCCAGGAGACTTTTAAGAGGATTTCTCCTTCCCAGGCTGCTAGACGTGAGGCTACTTGTAACAGTAGCTACTTGTAGGAGGCTACTGCTAAAAGTAGCCTGATACAAGATTTGACAAGGCACTTCCAAAAAACCCCAAATAAGCATGAGTATGAGCAATGGGAGATACAATGTGGAGATTGAACTGCATCCCCATGACAGGCAGACTAACTAATGCTATAAGCCAACAGGTCACTATCCAAATAACACAAGATGTTACAGAAGCAGGTACCACAGCTGTTAGCAAACTCCACCCAGAGGGCATCACGACAGGCCCGCGCATACAGTACTCGTGTACATCCACCCTTGCTACCCTGCAATGGGAAGCACACTGGTCAAAGCACAGGCTACATACCTTAACATTAAAAAGGTATAAGTAATGGAAAGTTAGGAACTGCAGTAAAAGGAGTCAAACAGGGCATACAGGGCAAAGTATTCCCTATATAACTTCACAGGCATGACAGGAACAAGGAACTGGACACTGAACACCTCAGGTTTAGAAACAGATTAGGTGTCAACCTACAACTACTGAAATTTTCAGAAGCCACAGAACAATTTATTTTAAAAATAATTAAGCTGGCTGCTGAAATAGTCCAACCCAAACAAGAAGATATTGAAATACCATCTACAGTTATAGAAAACATACCATGCAAACAGTTGCTAGCTATTGCACATATGCAAATACACAGGTGGAGAAACAAAAATATAGCAAGACGCATGAGATGTTGCAGAACAAAAGCTCATAGGACACACAGGGAAGATGCTGGTAAAGCACGTGGT